CTTGTCAGTTGTATTATTCTGAATGGAGGAATGATAATAATAATAATAATAATGTGTGTCATATGGGCGTTGAATTATGTCATATGCACTGTATATTGACTGTCTATAGCTGTCCTGTTTGATTTCGTTACAACAGCACAATTTATTAGTATTATTACTATTATTTTTATTCCCATAGGTTCCGAGTGAAACATACAGCTTCAACAGTACATAACCATTACACTGTGCTCTCTGTAGTCCTCTTCAGCTGACTCCACGATTGACTATTGGTTCGTATCTCTTCTTCACACGATCTCCAATGTGTTTCCCTATTTGAAAATGGACGCCCAACTTGTCCTTTTCCATTTTAGTTTCACTCAAGAAATGACCTGTCTGGTGGGCTCGATGTTACTCAAAGGTCTCATCGATTTGTGCCCAATCCATCTTCATTTTCAGGATTTTATCATGAATTGACGTCGGCTGGCTAGAGACCTGTTGGAAACCCACCTGGACTGCTGTCTCTGCTGTCCTATTATGGGACTGTTCAGCAGTACGCACCCACGGAGGTTCGAAACGAGTACCTTCTCGTTACAAACCTATCTTTTAGACCACTGGGTCTTTGGGATTGTGTCCCGGTGGTCCTCTTACCGATGTCAGGTCATGATGAGACCCTTAAGCCAATCAAATCCCTGCAAACCAACACTTGAACATGTGCATTTTCTTAGGAATATTTGTTTTCAGAGTTTCTTGATGCTAGTTATTTCTGATAGGTTTTCTGATCTTCTCTATGGAGCCAGCGAAACAGGCAGTTGTTGATGAAAACCTTCAATAGCAGCCTGTTGGAAATTCTTTTAGCAGTGGCGCTCACGCCAAGTTTCTGATCAATATAGAAGCACTAGCTACTGAAAATCCGAACCTTGTCCTCTATGCAGGGTGTAACAGATTTCCAAACTGATTTCAGAGTGACGGAGGTCTTTCCTTGCCTTCACCGATACTCCTTGATTTTGACATCCTCATCCGTGACAGGTGACTGTCACTGAAACAATGCTGCATAAATATAGACGAAGAAAGTGAAATCTTTCAAATTTCTTTCCTTGCTAGTGATTGGTGTTTGTTTAGAGAAGTTTAGTCTTAACTGCTTGCTGACAGTATGCGTCAAACCAATTTCAGATAAGGAGATTTGAATGCAACCTGAATATATTATATATTTTAAGGGAATAAAGATTCCCTTTCAATTAGTCCCTCATCATCGGATGGCTCTACATTAATATATAATCGTTTTTGCATCAAAATTGTTTTTACCAATCAAGTGGTTATTTTAGATAATCAGTTCCAGGTATAGGGTGGGGTGGGGTGAAATGAAGAGGTTAAAAGTCATCAAAACATCAGTTTACTAACAGATGTTAGTAACAAGATATCTAAGTCTTACTAAGATCACAATTCATGGGTGATATCAACAGTGAGTTATTATCCCAACGTCTGAGAAGGGCCTTCGAAAGGACTTTCAACGCAGCTGAGCTATTCTGTACATTCATTAGCCAACCAATACTTAGTTCAAAAAATGGAGACAGACTACTCTAATTGTTTCGCCTCTTCCATGTGTATTTACCTGTTTAACTGTCAATGCGGAGCTGGCTACATAGGGCGTACGACCAGATAAGTTCATTGTCAAATTTCTGAACACTTCCCATCTTGGTTTGGCAAAGGTCCGAATAAAGCTGTACGCAACTCAATACTAGCTCATCCTCTACATACTGACTGGACATCAAGTCGACTCTAACAAAACTTTTGAAGTCATTTATTAATCGTATATCACTCAACCTCAGCAAGTACCACCTTTACACATACAGCAGAGGCAATCGGAATTCATCTGAACAAGCCAAATGTGTGCGTGTGTGTGTATTCAAAAGAAATTTGTACAGCAGCTTCTTCTTTGCCATGGCCAACTACATAAAATATGTTTTAAGTTTTTAAAACGATTCTTTCCTTCCCCTTGTGACTATCTTTTGACTTTGTTAATTTTCACAATTCTAGCAAATACTATTAGCTGGTTTGCATTTCACGTAACTCATCCTAATCTTCTTAGTCATCATTGCTATTCTACAAATTTCTTGATGATGTGATAACTTGTTGCCAACCCCGAAGAATCAACTCATCTTGAATTCCGTAATTAATTAATTAATTTTCACCCCTCCCTCCTTCAGAACTTGCATATCCTGTTACTAACATCTGTTAGCTAATTGATGTTTTGATGACTTGTAACTTGTTAATTTCACCATCTCCACCCTCCTACATCTAAAACTGATTAGCTAAAATGACCACTTGATTGGTAAAACATTTTGATGTGAAAACGACTATATATTGGTGTACAGCCAGTCAGACAGCCGATGATGAGGAACGAATTGAATTAAAGGAATGCATATTTCATACATTTGGTTCCTTTGATAAATTCCGATAGAGAAAGAAAGACCAGATTTGCAGTATAAAATGATGTCATCATTCTATTTCACAGGTTCTTATCAGCTGCAAAATACCTGAGATTACAATGGTTATAATGAAGTATGAAATGTTATTATTTATAGCCATTGTAATTTCAGGTAGTTTGCAGCTGATAAGAACCTGTGAAATAGAATGATGACATCATTTTATACTGCAAATCTGGTCTTTTTTTCTCTATCGGAATGCATATTTCTTCGTTCAATCTGTTGTTTTCTCTAAATGGGTAAATGGGAATTTGAAATACTACATTGTTGTACCCAAACGGTAAAATAACTATTTGGACATTTATGTCTGAGGGTGACATGGACAAAATAGTGTATGAGGAGGAGATAAGAGTGTATTTGCAAACGTGAAGCCAGATAAAGAGCATCGCATAAAACAGGACAAAATAAGAATGTTCTGTTGAATTTGTATCTTCCACTCTGAACTTTAGGGAATATTAATAGTAATATCATAATATTTTTTAAAAATTTTTTATTCCTTTACGTTCCCGATGGAACGTCTTTACCAGTCTTATCACTGGCTTAGCGAGGTTTGGGAGTGCCTCGTTGGTCGAGGATCGAACCCCGGACCATGTGCATGGTTGGCGAGTGTCCTTACCGCTGTGCCACCGACGCACACATATAATTCCATATGTTCCTTTGCTTCATTTCTATGTGCATCCTTATCACAACTAACTCATTAAACTATTCATCTTATTATGTAACTGTACTGCGCTTATTCAACTTCTTTTATGTGTTCATTGGCATTAACAAGTATATTTTTTTGACAACGGCTCACCACCACCCTCTTACCAATCGTAGCCGCTACCCACTAGTTAAAGTTTGACTACTCATCACATTTTTGGAATGTCATGACAACAATAACCCTAACTTTTATTCTTATCAGACAAAGCCAATAATGTACACCCACATACACCTACATACAGAAATCATTATCTATAATCGTGAGTGTAAAGGTAAGTGAATAAATACGCCGCCGAAAAGAGACTGTTTGCTGAACACTACGTTTTTCGTTTTTCATTAATGTTTGAATGGGGATTATGCATGAATTAAAATTAAGATCAGTAGGAATGCGATAAATAACTTTAAATGCTGTTTCAATATCAACTTTATGCTCACCATCTACAAGGCGTGCTAAAATAGAGCTACGAATTGATCTTGTTTGTCCCTTGCTTAACCACCACTATACCGGATGATGTTCGGGAATACGATGATGAAGCTGCCTAATTGTACGCCCAATATAGCTGCCTGGTTCTTCAGCTGCAGTCAGATTGGTAGAGGAAGAAGAGGAGGAAGCGAAATTAAGTAGTGTATTCTTATTTCTCGAACGTAAACTAGGGGCGGTAATAAAAAGACAAGGTAGCACCTCTGCGGCGTTGAAAGCTCTTTTAACTGCATTCTTCTTTGGGCGCTTGCTGTTTAACTATTTCACGGAAGAACTGTAGTTTGATGAGCAGTGGTTGTCCTGAAGCTGTTGCCTACTTAGTTGTTTTGGTGCTAAACTCATATTTTTCTGAATGAACTTATCTGGATAACCCTGTGGTTACAATTCGATTATTCATCACTTTTCTTTGAAATATCTTGATGACATAAATAACACCCTTAAATGATTTTTATTCTTATCGGACAAACCTAATGTATACACACAGGTATACAAAAATAAGTAAATATAATTGCGATTGTACCGCTCAGCTAGGTGAATGAATTTGCCACCTTAAAGACACTCTTCGCTGAACACTATTTGTTTTCTTTTCAATAATAATTTAGACGAAGTAATAAGAAGAAGTAAATTGTTTGAATCGTGTAATGTATTTGAGCAACACATTTCCATCAATCTGATCACACACGGACCCGTCACAGGATTATATATGAAATGAATAAAGAGTTAAGAGGTGAGAAAACAGACTAATGTCAATTTAAAAGGACATATTGAAGGTGAAAATAACAATGAAGATCACTGAACCAAAGAAAGCAGGTAATATTACATCTACCCTGGCTGGTATGGAAACGGAGTTTACCAAGGAAGGCAGGTTTAGTGCGATGACGAACTGTTGCTTTGAACGCATGAAGGTGGTTTAAACTTCCTAATTACTAGCTAGGCCTAGCTTCCACAAACTTCAGGATGCACCCCTCTCCAAACAGGTTTTATGGATAGGTTTAAAAGATGTGTTAACGTCAACGTTATGTCCTGTCTCCTCTGTAATATGTTTCACAATAGAAGAACCAAAGTCGTCTGTTCTCACTATTAATTAATGGTTTGTGGGGATTCAGTTTACTTCTGGAGCTATTTAGGAATGTGCCATGAAGCCAGCCCTTACTTGCAGTAATCCATGAGTCCTCCCTCTTATGTCCGTGTTGCCACACATACATTCAAATTGGTAAATAAGAACAATAATACTAATAAAAACTGTGAATTCAAACAGAACTTTTGTAATTTTGCATTTATCAAACATAGACTGGTGTCATCATAATTATCCTAATCATTGTGTTGTCTTGTATACATTTTCCTTCCAACTGTAGATGATTCTGAATTAGACTTAAATGGTAATCTAATGGACACCTATTCTAATTCTTCTACAAGTTCTATCATCAGTTGCAGTGGTGGTGGCACTGGCGGTGGTACTACAACTTCAACAGCAAATCCATATGGTGGATGTCCAACACCTGGATGTAAAGGTTATGGAAATATTAAAGGACCAAGATATGTATCGCATCAGCGTCTTTCAGGCTGTCCTTATGCTGATGGTAATTTAAAAAAAGATTCTATTAAAGCACATGAACGTTTAAATTCAACAAATATCATACTAACATCAAATTCATCTATTTCTATGGATTCAGAAACTATTGATTCTGATAGTGCAACTACTACTACTAATACTACTACTACTATAACAACAACATCATCGTCAATTTCTATTAATACAGTATCATTACAGGATCCTATCTCAGGTCATCAACGTCTTTCACCTGATTCTACAGTGAAAAGTGAATTATCTTCTTCTACTTCTTCGGCTTCTCCGTCTTCTGCTTCTTCTTCTTCGTCTTCATCTTTAAATCCCATACCAACTAGTGTTACATGTCCTTGTTCAGAGATAAAAGTGTCAACTTCTATGTGTTGTACTTCTGTAGCGACACTACAATTAACTAATTGTAACACTAATAGTAATACTACAACATCATCTGATTGTTGTTTCTCAACTGTGATGAATAATCCTCATTTAACTAGTAGTTCTGTTGTACCTGCACAGACTACCATTACAACCACTACTCCTACTACTACTACTACTATGCCTCCTATTATCCTTCCATCAAATGAACTGCCTCAACCTCAATCTAGTGCTTTACCTTTGAATTTAACAGTGGATAAACTTCCAGATATTTCGGAATTATCGAATGCATTGTCGTCTCCTACAGACACTGCTACCACTACTACTACTACTGTAGGGTAAGATCAGCGTGTTTTTCTATTTTGGTTTCATTATTTTGTCTGTTACAAGTCAAGTTAAATTTCTCATAGTGTTTATACAGGGAACTGACACACAGTCAAACCGATATTTGGATTTCGGATCATCTTCACCAGTGTGTCACAGTAAAAATAGGATCGGTGAAATGTGTAGGTGACAGCAGGGTAGAAAAACTGCACGACATGTCATCATTATGGTGAAATAATGATAATTAATGGCAGTAATACTGGTAGAAATAATAGTGATGACGAAATGCATGACAAACATGCATGCACAACAGTAACAACAGGGAATTTAAATCATCACTAGTACTTCCATACAAAGAAGGAACCTCGGTAACCTCACGGCAGAGAATTCTTAACGTCGAAAGAAGGAACAAAAGTGTCTGACATTCAAACCATCCACAAACTCAATTAGAAACAAACTTTATCGGTTAAAAGATCCCGCCTATGGAGATTATTAAACAAAACAATTTAGTTTATCTAATCCCCTGCCTGTAATGACTGTCAGATCAAAGTAGTAGAACGGAATCATTCAATCCGACTAGTGTAGCAGTACAAAAACCTAGCGAGAGATTTATAACGGAATCTTTACTTGGTTACAGGATTTCATCATGAGCTGACATTGGTTAGAGAACCATTGGAAAACCCAGGAATACTGAACAGCTGTTTCGTCAACCTAGCTTGGGACTCTTCATCAGTACGCACTCACCGGGGTTCGAACCCAGGACCTTCTGGTTATAAGGCGACCTCGCATACCATCAAGCCATTGGGACCCGATCCAATGGCCCATGAATTTTAACTGAGAGCGAATACGTATAGTGGAAATGATTCAATGCCTTTCCACCTGGACATCTAGAATATCCTGCTAACCTCATCAACGAATGGGAAGGAGTAAAGAAAACTATAAAACGGAGGTTCCAAAGTTGTGTGGCAATAATTAAGGATATGATTATGAACAATAAATAAGTAGTGTTCGAAAGGCGCCGTCATCCAGTAATGAGTAATACTGTTTCACTGTCTCTGTGTGTGATATATCTAATAAACAAATTAATTTGGAATTAAATTTACTTCTGGTCACATTTATCATAAATTACATAACTGATATATTTGTTTGTTTTATGGTGTGTGTATGTGTTTGTAGAAACTACAAGCTAAAGCTTATGAGTCAATTATATGTTGTTTAATTTTTGAAATGTCATCAAACAAGTGATTGAGCCTTTATTTTATTATACTGATAATAACAGTTCCCACTGGAACATGTAGGGCTTCAAGCTGGAGCTTTTCTAAGTTCTGGTAGAAGTGGTGTTTATTTTTATGGGGTAGGGGGTCGCTAGCCTCACGTCACCCAACCTTCTATATTTACCGGCCTTGCTACTGGCTTAGTGAGGTCTTGGAGTGCCTCGGTGGCCGAGAATCGAGCCCCGAACCACGTGAGTAGTTGGCGAGTGTTCTACCGCCGAACCACAGACGCACACATTGCGACATAAATCAAATAATGACACACTTATTGGCTGACTGGGCATTGGTTTTCAGGAGAATCGAACACTGCGTCGGTGGCACAGTGGTTAGGACTCTCGCCGACCATGCACATGGTTCGCGGTTCGATACCCTGCCGACGCACACCTGAATTCTATGGACGGCCCGCAAAATTTGGGCTACCGATATCACATGCTGAAAATTTCATACCTGTACCGAAAAATACGGTGTGGAGTGAAGCTGTAATCGAAAAAAACACGCCTTTCCCTGCCTCTTGCGAAACCAGCACGTAGTATCATCCTACGGTTGAATCACTCGAGACCCCTCTCCCCCACTGTGTGGACCACAATAACAGTAGTATGATCGTTGTAGTGTACAGAAAAAAAGATGGCTTCATACGTGGAAAATATGTTTAAATCTCAAACATGTGTGTGTGATTGATTCTTCCGTGTACGCTTTAAGTCACGATTCAAAATAAATTATGTCTACGGAGAAGGTATGTGAGAACTGGTGAGTCGTGGAAAATGCCCATCAGTACATTAGAGAGAGAGAGAGAAGGAAGGACAAGAAGCTCTCAGCAATGTTTCATTTTTCCGGCAATTTCAGCCTCAAAAGCAGCTGCACAATCGCGTTTATATATATATATATATTTATCAATGAAAATTCGAAGGAGGCTTAGAAACAAACTACACAAGACTATAAAACAGTTGCGTAATAGCGCTATTCTATTTCATCTTGTGGTTCCAGAACACAAGATTGATGTTAATGAGGCTGGCTGTTGGAATCTACATTAAGAGACCTAATTTATGTATCCAAAAGAAGAAGTTGCTTCACACACTATCTTTACCTTGACCATCAAGGTTTTAATGATCATCAACTTCTTGTGGAAATTTCCTTAATTTTATTTGATTTTCTCTCTGCTATTATATTTGTATGCTTATTATATTTTATGAATCTGTAATGAACTGTAATCCCTTCGTGATCTTACCTAACAAATCGACAGTATTTAAAAAACACCAATATTGTTATTCATAGGGGAAAACACAGTTTTTTGGTTTAGCGAAGAAATATCTTTTTTCAGCGACTTCATTTTCAAGCCAACTGTACAGTCGTACTGATATTACGGAAAAAGAAGGCATTCATAGGTGGCACTAGAAATTGCTCAGCCAATATTGCACATATGATAACAATAAAGATAATTACAATGATGTACTTCGTCAGTTGAGTTGATGAAATTAATGTGACCGGTAAGCATATGATTTCACTAGATGCTTGCTCGTTATTTATAAATGTATCATTAGTAGAAACTATTTGTTATTCATGCAACTACATAGACCTAGGATGCATAAGCGTATTCTCCGTAAACGCGTAGCTGAACACTACCCGGTTTGGTTAATGAAAGGTGAGAAAAAGACGACAAAGTTTTCAATCTGTGGACACCTTCTGGAGTCAGGTCATTCAGCCCCACGTAATTTATTCTTCAAAGCTATTTATAGGACCAAATCTAACCACTCCAAAAGCCTACGTTTTCCCCACTTATGTATAGCCGAAGTTATAGATATACATGAACAGAAGCCTAAATCTTGTATTCAAAATCATTGCGTTAAACCCTTTTCTTTACATTGGTAATAGTAATGGTCTTTTATTTTACTCTATTTTACCACTTGAATTCATTCCACTTCACTTCACCTTCTTGTCTTTATTGTTACCATCATCATACTCTGAATTTCTTAGACAACACTTGACCCACAGTCTTGAAATCTTTATACCAGTTCACTTATTTAATAATCTTTAAAAGTTTTGTAATTCAACCACTTCAACTCTACCACGCCCCCTGTCCCTTAGTACATCATTTTAATTATCTGTATTCTTATCATATGTGCAATGTTGGCCACTGAGCAATTTCTGTTGCCACTAATGCCTTCTTTTTCCGCAATATAAATATGACTGCTGTACAGCTGGCTGAAAATGAAGTTGTTGGAGAGAAACAGAATTTCTTCGCTGAACAAAACTTGTGTGTTTTTCCACATCAAGCTTTCCTATTAAACTCTATTGTTTTCCTCCCAATGAGGTTGAATTCCACTCAATATCTTCTCTCTACAAAATATACTGGAAATCATTTTGGTTCTGGTTCCACAAGAAACAACAACAACAACCAAATTTTCTTGAAATGGTTTCTATGCTACAAGTCGAACTAGATCCATGATAGTAAATGTAGGGGTTGGACTAATTTCTCTGAAACACCACTGATCCCGTTTTAAGATGAATATGGTGAGGGCTTCCTCGGTACAAAGAAGTTGTTTACTTTGTAAGTGACTCTGAACGATGAGTCAGTTTACACGGTGTGACAGGTATTGACAAAGTGTTCAATAATAACGCTTCTGGTTCGGTTGCTCTGGTTAGTATTGTCTGAAACATTTTGGAAGGATGCGCGCATAGGATGACATGTGTGCTTAGCCCTACAGTAGCATGTGAACTGATATATTGGGCACATTGGAGTGGTCATGTGCAGAAGAAGAAGAAGCATGTTGCTATAGAATATCATTCTTATTGTTGCTACAGGAAAGGTCTTCTTTAAAGAATGAGAGATTATCCTCTTTAGGATATCTACTGCTAAGTCCCTCCCGAAGTCCAGATTCATAGACAAACTACCTTCTTTGGTACTGAAGTGCCTTCTTCTCTTCTTGACCATAATCACACATTCATTCCCTCGAAGCGTGCCTAGTATAAATCTATCCATTTTTAGTCAGTATAATTTTGAGAAATAAGAGCTCCTTCGTCTAAGCAGTCAGTGCTACAAATTCTTCTCATACGAAATCATGAAAGCTCTTTCTTGACTCACAGGTATCCAACTACAGATATCTGCCAGTTGGTTATTCCATGATGGTTTTCTGTGGATAGACCTTTTAAGAGTTCCATCATCATCTTTTCTTGTCAATTCTACATCTAGAAATGGAATCTTTGCTTCATTTTTGAATTCCATTGTGAATTTTATTTGAAGGGTGGCAATTATTAAAACCCAGTGAAAACTAGTCAGGCTTCAGACCTTTTCTGAATACCTCTTCTGAATACCAGTGACTAACACTTGCCATATTTCTTCATGTGAAGGTAAGATCCGACTCTGTCGACCGAGAAGAAGTGCTATGGCAATGTCCGACCGTGAAGGAAATGCTGGGAAAGTATCTCACACTAATCAAGGTACAATCTATTTGAATATAACGCAGCCGTGTAACAGTTTATGAAGATTTTTCATCTGAATTGTGTGTCTGTCAGGGGATAGCCAATTTTGTCTAGTTTCTTGTTTAATGTCATCACAGATTTGCTAATAGATGATGTAGCCTTAATCGAATTTAGTCACTCACAGATTGATTTGTTTACCGAAAGACAGTTTCGGGGTATGTGGGACGATATAGTCATTCTAAATGTGAAGACCCCGACAAAATGCAGTGTCTCCTGAACAACTAGAGCAGAAATCTCGGTGTGTTCGACGTTCGACTTGTCCC